GTATATAATCGAGTCTGGACCAGACAATCCAGTGATTGACATCATTAGCATCGATTTACGCAGTTGGGATACGACGACATGCATCAACCAAGTCTGACCACCCGATCATGTTAGTCGCCTCTTACAACAAGCATAGTCGCCTTTTACGGCAAGAATGGGTTGCTGAGGACCTATTCTACCCCGGATCTTTACGATGGATTGATGACAATGCAACATGAATGACGATGAATCGATGACAATGCATCGCAAATAACGATGAATCGATGACAATGCATCGCAAATAACGATGAATCGATGACAATGCATCGTAAATAACGATGAATCGATGACAATGCATCGCAAATAACGATGGATTGATGACAATGCAACATGAATGACGATGAATCAATGACAATGCATCGCAAATGACGATGAATCGATGACAATGCATCGTAAATAACGATGAATCGATGACAATGCATCGCAAATAACGATGGATTGATGACAATGCAACATGAATAACGATGAATCGATGACAATGCATCGTAAATAACGAATAATCGATGACGATGCATCGCAAATAACGAATAATCGATGACAATGCATCGCAAATAACGATGGATCGATGGCAATGCATCGTAAATAACCATAGTCCGATAGCAATACATCGCAAATAACGATGAATCGATGGCAATGCATCACTGTCGGCACCATACCCGTTTGCTTTTTGCCAAATAATATCTTTCACATTTGGCTTCCCTCACTGAGAGCCGTGAAATAACTTAAAAATTGAAAGGATATTCGTGAAACCGGCTTCCAGTGAATGAGCTTTTGAGGGTTCCTCCGTACTCATTGTCACGGCGACAGTTACGCAACGACAACAACAGTTACGCAACGACAACAACAGTTGCGCAATAGCATCAGCATCAATAAGAGAAGGTTCAAGCATCATTGCCACGTACTTTACAGCAGGACATAGGGGCTGAACAAACGAAGCCAAACAATCAATGGTTGAAGCAGTGGTATCGATGTTATTTCCCTTCACCTAAACTGACGAAACCAATAGCATTACTACCGCAGCATTGATAACGGGAGGTGTGAAGCTGTCTCTGTTGAAGCAGTCATGGTCTGCTGATTCGTCAGTTACTGAGTGGCAGGTCGACCCATTATATCAATCAATGGGGCATTCATGCTCAACAGCGGCATGGTATCTCAGTGGGCAAGCACTATAAATTAGGCATTTGTCCGGACTAGCATAAGCACGCACGCGCACACACACACACGTGCATGTGCATGTGCGTCGCTATATAAGGGCAATAATCATGGACGCGACGTTAAACCCCATTTCACCTCACCTTTTGAAGGAAAACTATCTAAGTTAATGCAACATTGTGATTTGCTCTCTCTCTGAAACCGGACCCCTAATCCGGTATTTCATAACTTTGTGACGTCAGCAACGTGGCACTGGAGGCTGTAAACATGGAGCAAATAGGCGTGTCGTAGCCAACTCACTTGGTGTGTCAAAGTCTAATGAGCAAAGAAAAGAAAAATTCCGCAAATCTAAAATCATATACATTCACCTGATCAATGGGCAAGAAGTAGCGCCAAAAGTGTCCTTTACAAACAATGACAAAGTTGATATCCATAAAATGTCTTCACTGACGATAGGCACCGATCAGGACACCTAGATCAAGGAGAGCCTGAAGCCTGGACACCCTAGATCAGAGAGAGTCTGACGCCAGGACACCTAGATCAAGGAGAGCCTGACGCCAGGACAACCTAGATCAAGGAGATCCTGACGCCAGGACACCCTAGATCAAGGAGATCCTGACGCCTGGACACCCTAGATCAAAGGGATCCTGACGCCTGGATACCCTAGATCAAGGAGAGCCTGACGCCTGGACAAGCTGGATCAAGGAGAGCCTGACGCCTGAACACCCCAGAGCCAGGACACCTTAGATCAAGGAGATCCTGACGCCAGGACACCCTAGATCAAGGAGAGCCTGACGCAAGGACACTCAGGAGCCATGAAACCTGTCCAGAAAAAAGCTATCTTGTTGTACGGAATCGAGAATCGGAATGACCTAATTGTGTCCCATAAGCGTGCAAGAAACCTATGATCGTGGGTTCGAATAACGGTTCGCCTCGATAATGTTTCTAGGTTTGTCGGCACCATACCCGTCCTCGTGGGTTTCACCATCGTGGTAAACGTCTGAAACCTGCATCACTTCGAGCTTTCCACCGTTGCAGCGTTAAACACACCTCACTCATATGGTAATCTTCCCAGTTATGGCGGCGATGGGGTAGCCTAGTGGTTAAAGCGCTCGCTCGTCACGCCGAAGACCCAGGTTCGACTCCCGACATGGGTACAATGTGTGAAGCCCATTTCTGGTGTCCCCCGCCGTGATATTGCTGGAGTATTGCTAAATGCAGCGTAAAACCAAACTCACTCCAAATTTTATATGATCCTGTCATCCTGGGTGGCACGCCCACGACCTGCGCCACGACATCACATCAATACAATGATGTTCGGGGCTACATTGTACCATCACAGATGTGCGCATCGAATATTTACCTAGTTCAAACACAGAATGTTGAATGTGCATAAATATGTAATTTAATAGCATTGATCGATGTGCAGCTTCTGCCGCCATTAGCAAGCATCGGCGTATTTGCGTAAGGAAAGCCTTTCCCCGTATGTGCACACACAACTAGAATCACCAGGGCAATGCTATTGACCCACTGGCGGGCGCACTCCCAGCCGAATCGAAATTATTGTCATTCTCAATATTATGTATTAAAGTGAATGATTGAATATGGTTTTACGCTGCTTTTGGCAATATTCCTACAACATCACGACGGGGAACACCAGAAATGGGCTTCACACATTGTACCCAATGTACTAAAGAAATAGCAGTGCAATAAGCTCAGTATTTCTTAACACCGACGTCAGGGTGATTTTATGTCTTTCACTTCTGGAAATAATGAGTGTTTGGTTTTGACTATTTCATTGACTTTGAGGACAGTCATTGGAAGTATAATCGTTTCTGAACCGGAAGCTGAAGAGTGGGTGATAGGGAGGGGTGGTGTTAGTGGGTTGGTGGGTGAGTGAGTGAGTGAGTGAGAACAAATGAAGGATCATAATCAGAATTTTAATCAACGATCATCGGATAGTGGCAGGGCTAAGGGGCGCAACTCTGCACGGCACCTATGGCCACTGGGCGACACGTACCATATAAGTTATAAAGTTATGTATATTAAACTATTTAGGATTATCCATCTGGAAAGTGTTATGTTCCATCATAACCTGTTTGTCTTCATGTTTTTTCAGTACCATTGTCCCGCGAGTTCATTGTACAACGTTCTTACACTTGAAAGCCAAGTCGATCTATTTTACCTTCCATCACAAACCCCATGTACAACAATACCTTCCTCTGAGCACAAAGGGCCTTTCATCTTAACCACTCGTACCCGGTTGAACTCCATCATAATGCGTGACAGTCTGCCATAGCAGGTTAAGCTGTAAAACGGACAACTAAATAGGCACTCGACTTTATGATGCTGTGTACGTTTAAACATGGCGGTTGCCATGACAACTCACGTGCTCATGCAAATGTCAAGCAACGCCTGACAAACAGACACCGTAAGACAATGGCGGTTGTGTACCTGTTACAACATATGAGTGTTATTATTCTGGAAATCATAACATGTATTCCTTATCGCCAAGGTTACTTTTCACATCGTGCTTTGATGTTGCCATTGTTTTACCGAGGAAGTGTTCAAGAGGTATTTTCACCGATAAAAATTTGTCTCAGATAATGCTTAAAAATAATGCAGCTTCAGACTGCTGGAAAAAAAGAATTTGTCTGCCACGTAAAAATGCATGATGCATTGTTGTAAGATGTTCTCATATATGTTTATAGTTTTAATTGAATACCTGTTTTTGCAGATGTTGCAGAATATGATATATGTCAAAGGCACCGAACATTTGATATTCGGCACGGGGGGTAAATTTTGTGTGAGTGTGTGTGTGTGTGTGTGTGTGGGGGGGGGGGGGGGGGGGTGGGTGGGTGGGTGGGTGGGTGTTTGTGTGTGTGTGTGTGTGTGTGTGTCTGTGTGTGTTGGGGGTGAGGCAATCTTTTTCAAGGGCCTTAAGCATAATTATTTTTTGTGAATTTTCGGGGGCACACACACGCCAGAATATCAAATGGTCGATCCCTAACCTCCATTCAGATTCCAAGGTCTGACCCTCAGGTGCTATAATTCCAGTGGGTAACTGTTGTTGAAATATATGAAAATGAAATTTGATAAGGTGCTTTTAAGGAGCTTTGTATGTGAGGTGTATTTATCAATAAACATCCAAGACACGGTGTTGGTTGACCTAGAAAGTGCTGTACTTCTGTTTAAACCTGATGGTTGATTATCAGCTTATTCTGAGCAAACAAGGCCACTCGATGACAGGATGTCCGCGAAGCTTTGTATTGGGCCAATATGGCGTTCTGACAGAACAGGAGGTATTGGATTTTGGCCGAGCGTTATTTTTACTGGAATTGTTTGCCTCTAGGTTCGGGACAAAGGTTGGTTGGCTTGATATTGAACCATATATTGATAATCAGATATGTACAGCTGATATACGGTGATGCTTAGTTGGTCGCTAATGAGCTCCGTGATATTGATCGCGGAAGTCGAAGAGAAATATTTAAAGTAGCGTTTAGGCTGATGCAGCACAAGAACTGTAGGGGAATTTGTATAAAGTGGATAAAACACGGACAGGTCAGCTCCGAGTCAGTATACTGTGTGTAAATGGGGAATCTAATTAAACTGCAGCAATAAGAGGGCTGGCACAATACAACCGGCAAAGTCTGGACTAGTACACGCACGCACGCACGCACGCACGCACGCACGCGTCGCTATACAAGTGCAATACTCTTGAAAGCGGCGCTATATAGGTGCAATAATTTTAAGTGCGACGTTAAACCCTATTTCCTCTCACCTCACCAACCTTTGTTTTACTGTTTCAGAGACCGTCCAGTCAAGCCTGTGCTGTCTGCAGGGATGTTTGGCTGCCTCCGCTGTGGGTTTCGCCTTCTTTGTAGGGCTCCCGTCGGGTATGTCATACCGTCATACTCTCATACCGTCATACTCTCATACCGTCATACTCTCAAACCGTCATACTCTCAAACCGTCATACTCTCATACCGTCATACTCTCAAACCCTCAGACCGTCATACTCTCATACCGTCATACTCTCATGCCGTCATACTCTCATACCGCCATACTCTCAAACCGTCATACCGTCATACTCTCATGCCGTCATACTCTTATACCGTCATACTCTCATACCGTCATACTCTCATACCGTCATACTCTCATACCGTCATACTCTCATGCCGTCATACTCTCATACCGTCATACTCTCAAACCGTCATACTCTCATACCGTCATACTCTCAAACCGTCATACTCTCATACCGTCATACTCTCATACCGTCATACTCTCATGCCGTCATACTCTTATACCGTCATACTCTCATACCGTCATACTCTTATACCGTCATACTCTCAACCCGTCATACTCTCATACCGTCATACTCTCATACCGTCATACTCACAAACCGTCATACCGTCATACTCTCAAACCGTCATACTCTCATACCGTCATACTCTTATACCGTCATACTCTTATACCGTCATACTCTCAAACCGTCATACTCTCATGCCGTCTTACTCTCATACCGTCATACTCTCATGCCGTCATACTCTCATACCGTCATACTCTTATACCGTCATACTCTCAACCCGTCATACTCTCATACCGTCATACTCTCATACCGTCATACTCACAAACCGTCATACCGTCATACTCTCAAACCGTCATACTCTCATACCGTCATACTCTTATACCGTCATACTCTTATACCGTCATACTCTCAAACCGTCATACTCTCATGCCGTCTTACTCTCATACCGTCATACTCTCAAACCGTCATACTCTCATACCGTCATACTCTTATACCGTCATACTCTTATACCGTCATACTCTCAAACCGTCATACTCTCATGCCGTCTTACTCTCATACCGTCATACTCTCATGCCGTCATACTCTCATACCGTCATACTCTCATGCCGTCATACTCTCAAACCGTCATACTCTCATACCGTCTTACTCTCATACCGTCATACTCTCATACCGTCATACTCACAAACCGTCATACCGTCATACTCTCAAACCGTCATACTCTCATACCGTCATACTCTTATACCGTCATACTCTCAAACCGTCATACTCTCATGCCGTCTTACTCTCATACCGTCATACTCTCATGCCGTCATACTCTCATACCGTCATACTCTTATACCGTCATACTCTCAACCCGTCATACTCTCATACCGTCATACTCTCATACCGTCATACTCACAAACCGTCATACCGTCATACTCTCAAACCGTCATACTCTCATACCGTCATACTCTTATACCGTCATACTCTTATACCGTCATACTCTCAAACCGTCATACTCTCATGCCGTCTTACTCTCATACCGTCATACTCTCAAACCGTCATACTCTCATACCGTCATACTCTTATACCGTCATACTCTTATACCGTCATACTCTCAAACCGTCATACTCTCATGCCGTCTTACTCTCATACCGTCATACTCTCATGCCGTCATACTCTCATACCGTCATACTCTCACGCCGTCATACTCTCAAACCGTCATACTCTCATACCGTCTTACTCTCATACCGTCATACTCTCATGCCGTCATACTCTCATACCGTCATACTCTCATACCGTCATACCGTCATACCGTCATACTAGAACACCTATTGCACTGTATGTCTCGGCCAATTGGTGAATGCCCATTAATGACGATCGGATTGTTATAATTGTATCCTCACCGTTACTCATGCTGTCAGCCACTGGTTTTATTATTGACAGGCCGCCGTGAACTAGCAGGAATGTTGCAACGTGCGGCGTTAAACAATATTGTCTCACTCTCTCACTTACCCGTGAAGATCCGGGATAGAATAGGTCTTCAGCAATCCATGCTTGCCGTAAAAGGCGACTCTGCTTGTCGTCAGAGGCGACTTACTGGATCGGGTGGTCAGGCTCGCTGACTTGATTGATGCATGTCATCGATCCCAGTTGCCTGGGTCGATGCTCATGATGTGAATCACTGGATTGCCTGGTCCAGCAGACCATTTACAGACCGCCGTCATATAGCTGGAATGTTGTTGAGTGCGGCGTTAAACAACAAACAAACACTCTCTCACTAATTCATCTCTCTATAGTTCATTTATAATTCATCTAAAATTCATCTATAATTCATCCTCTAGGAATCCTGCTCGTGTTCTACGCCTCAAAGAACCAGGAACCGACGCTGCTTGCTGTAGGGGGCGTCTTGGTGGCACTTCCGGTCTTGACCCTAATAATTTTCTCCATTATCTGTCTGTTTAAAAGCAGATTCAAGAGATTAAACAAACGCAAGAACAATTCCGTCCAGAAAGATCCAGGAGAAGATAACTCTAGGTATTGAATTGCTCACTTCCGGTTGAATGTATGACAAGGCTGAGAGGAGGTTTCCTTTGAATTGTATACGTTGTGAGATGTCGTCGCTGAAAGCTGAATAATAGTTCATGCGGCCGAAGCCAATACCCACTCTCTCACACACTTTCTGAAATCCAAATAAAACGTATCCGGTATTGGGTGCTGCCACGTCTTTCAAAGGGGTGATATCTCAAAGTCCCAATAATGTCGGACGGAGCCGTGCCATAGAAAAACAGACATTCCTTATTCGGTTTGGTTGTGATAGCATAATGTCCGGAATCCTCCCAATTGACTGCCAACAGACGGAGTTTGTCCCTCGCTACACATTGGAATATTACCGAAGCCTGGTTTAGCAAGCTTTGAAAACAGGGTTCCAAATATTGGTGCGATCTATTTGTCAGTACCACGAGGCAGCTGCTATTACCACGTGACCTCGCCCAAATATTTCTGTCCAACTCGTCCCCGAACTCATATACATAGTGGTGTCACATAACAACATATTTAAAGGATGCCATTGAGCCACACCTGAAGGCTTGAAGATCTAAAGTAACACGTGATCTAAATACGTCACAGTGGAATTTCCTTTCTGTACACTTGCGGACTTTTGTGAAGAAAAAACCCAGTGAAGTTACAAAGAACAGCATAATGTAAGTCTTGTCCTGGAATTAAGCAGCGCCAGGAATGAACGCTCGATGATTACCAGTTCCTAGTGCGAGATTCATTTTTTGTATAATCTTTTTGTGGGATATTTTGCTATGCGTGTGTCGTGGGCTGTTTTTTAAAGTCTGGTTGGTCATCGTATGTTAAAATGATTTCTATAACGGACAACAATATGTGCCAAATACATATGAATATTTTCTTATCTGTGAGGTCCTTTGATATATTTCGACAGGGATAATTGATAATTTCATATTTTTCAAAAAGATGTCGAGCTATGAACGCAGTGGTCAAAGGGAGATAATTAATTACTGTAAATCGGCCGTGTGTTTTCTAAGATGAGAGTGAAGTGAAAGTAACTCCTCTTTTTCTCAAAACGTTGACTACGTAAAACTTTTTAGTAATCCGTACCATTCCGTGTCCGTAGCTGCAACATATAGAGAATCTCACCCTCGTGTCTTTTGATATCAAATATATCATATCAATTGCATATTCCATATCAAAAGACACGAGGGTGAGATTTTATTTATCATCCAACATCATTCTTCCAACTTTTTTCAATTTGTAGACAGTAATAAGCAGTCTTGAGTGTAAAAAGTACTGCTAACAGCTTCAGTAGCAGAGCCATTAGTGATGTCATTTGATTGTGACGTCATGTAACAATGACGTCATAATGGTCTGCAAAGCATTGTGATGGAATTTCATTGCAGCGATATCTACAATGTAGATATCGCTTGATCTCACCTAGGCGATATCTCCTGTGGGAGCCAGTTTTGGATGATCGTGAATATTGTTTGCAAATATAATAAGCAATAAATCATACGCACATTTTGGGAAGGGCAAATACTCGCGTTACGTACGCTTGAATTTCGTATTCCATTGGTTCATTGATCATGTGAAATCGGTTATGGTGTTCTTTGAAATCCAATGAGTGATACAATTAATTAAATGATTTATTTGTTCACACGCCACCCTACCACGTTTTACCGTTATTGACCCATGACAGGAACATGAAGCCTGAACTATCCCATACCTAGCTGAAATATACATGCTATTTACGGACAAAACATGGACCCTGTCTGGTTGTTTGGCTGAAATGTACATGCTGTTAACATATTAACCCTTGATATCCTTGCTTTAGGCCTGTCAATAACAACAGTCCCCAGATGCCCGGACTCAATACAGTCAATACTCTTGGCTAATTAAGCGTCTTTGCGAACCCGAACAGGGAATGTATCTCTGTGAAAGCTTGTCAATGACATCATGTATATTTTATTATAACGGTGATCTCGAGGGAACGATGAAAGATTCCTTCACTGCCTCAAACACGAGGACTTGCCTGTATCAAACTATGATGGAGCAAATGAATGTTGAAACACTCCCTTCTATATCAGTTCTGACGCTGTTCTCCATCTGCGTAACATAGCGCCATCGTGCCTTGACGCTCAGATCACAGCAGGGAATTATTTACAGATGTGAACTTATTGATGATGGATGATGGAAATTTTACGTTCATGTCAATAAACACATTCCTGCTTTGTTTACAGGCAGGAAAAACCTGATTCGGGGTTTCCCCTGAAGCTATATATATATATATATATATATATATATATATATATATATATATATATATATATATATATGCGCGCCAGGGAAGCCCCAAAATGTGTCGATTGTTTGGTTTCGGGTAAACTATGAACACAAATACTTTCGATGGATTACGGCGTTATATAAAAAACGTAATTTTGTTTGGTATTGGTTGACATGTCATCTGTCGTCATGAAGCTTGTCAACAGTGTTTTTACTGTTCAAGCTGAACCCTGTCGTAAATTGAAATAGCTTAAAACGTTTGAAATTGTTAATTAGTTTGGAATTCATTTGCCGATTATGATTAGTGACACCCGAAGGATGACAATCTCATTGAAATCAGATCTAGGTTCTCACTGCCGCTAAACAAAATTTTGTTTAGCGATAGCGAGAACTAAGATCTGATTTTAATGAGATTGGAAGGATGACAACAGGTTGTCGCTTAAAACATCCTTGTAGAAGTTGGGAAAAATACGTTCACACGTCAATGAACATTGCAGTTATTTCCACTAAGAGAGATGATACAACCTTGAGGAATTTCGGATTGGGTGTTGATATGACAAGCCGATACATACTGGCGTCTTTTAATGTATTTTTTAGAGTACTGCCAATTTATTTATACCCACTGCATAATGTCATATGCTTGTTGTTATTGTCATGGTAACACAAGCATACTATCATACAATGGAGGTTGATGTCAGTTGTTATTTTATTTACATTGTTGAATATGTAAATAGTTTATTTACCAAGTCAGATTATCAAATATGTTGCGAAATAAAAATAATTCGTATAAAATGTGTGTTTTTGTTTCTGTAATCAGTGGATCCGAACGTCATGTGACATGTATTTGGTATCAATATTCCTGCAGCGTGGTGAGCATTGATAATTTACACATTGATTACAGTTTAACGTCGACAGCACACATGGTCCCATATTAATTTGGACAGCACACATGGTCCCATATTAACGTCGACAGCACACATGGTCCCATATTAATTTGGACAGCACATATGGTCCCATATTAATTTGGACAGCACACATGGTCCCATATTAACGTCGACAGCACACATGGTCCCATATTAACGTCGACAGCACACATGGTCCCATATTAATTTGGACAACAAACATGGTCCCATATTAACGACGACAACACACATGGTCCCGTATTAATTTTGACAGCACACACGGTCCCATATTAACGTCGACAGCACACATGGTCCCATATTAACGTCGACAGCACACATGGTCCCATATTAATTTGGACAACAAACATGGTCCCATATTAACGACGACAACACACATGGTCCCGTATTAATTTTGACAGCACACACGGTCCCATATTAACGTCGACAGCACACATGGTCCCATATTAACGTCGACAGCACACATGGTCCCATATTAATTTGGACAGCACACATGGTCCCATATTACTTTTGACAGCACATATGGCCCCATATTAATTTGGACAGCACACATGGTCCCATTTTAACGTCGACAGCACATATGGTCCCATATTAATTTGGACAGCAAATATGGTCCCATATTAAATTGGACAGCACACATGGTCCCATATTTACGTCGACAGCACATATGGTCCCATATTAACGTCGACAGCACACATGGTCCCATGTTAACGTCGACAGCACACATGGTCCCATATTAATTTGGACAGCACATATGGTCCCATATTAATTTGGACAGCACATATGGTCCCATATTAACGTCGACAGCACACATGGTCCAATATTAATGTCGACAGCACACATGGTCCCATATTAACGTCGACAGCACACATGGTCCCATATTAACGTCGACAGCACACATGGTCCCGTATTAATTTGGACAGCACACATGGGTCTCATATTAACGTCGACAGCACACATGGTCCCATATTAATTTGGACAGCACATATGGTCCCATATTAATTTGGACAGAACACATGGTCCCATATGAATTTGGACAGCACACATGGTCCCATATTAACGTCGACAGCACACATGGTCCCATATTAATTTTGACAGCACATATGGTCCCATATTAATTTGGACAGCACACATGGGTCCCATATTAACGTCGACAGCACAAATGGTCCCATATTAATTTGGACAGCACATATGGTCCCATATTAATTTGGACAGCACAAATGGTCCCATATTAATTTGGACAGCACATATGGTCCCATATTAAATTGGACAGCCTCATGGTCCCATATTAACGTGGACAGCACACATGGTCCCATATTAACGTCGACAGCACATATGGTCCCATATTAATTTGGACAGCACACGTGGTCCCGTATTAATTTGGACAGCACACATGGTCCCATATTAACGTCGACAGCACATATGGTCCCATATTAACGTCGACAGCACATATGGTCCCATATTTACGTCGATAGCACACGTGGTTCCATATTGACTTGGATGGGAGACATTGTCCGATATTACCTTGAACAGCACATATGGTCCCATATTTACGTCGATATCACACGTGGGCCCATATTAGCGTTGACAGCACGTGTGGTTCCATATATTCGTCCACAGCACATATGGTTCTATATTAACTTTGAACAACACATGTAGTCCCATATTAACAGCACGCATGGTAAAATATTACAGTAAGGACAAATTCAAGTGATCGTCCGAACTGAATTGCAGTTTAACCAATTCGTCACTCGGACATTTCCGTAAATCGGAATGGCACGAGTTTCTCAGAAATGCCCCCTTTCGATGAATGTCATGTGCGAAAATACAACAAACCAATCAGAATGCGCGTATGATTTCAAGTTCTTCGTCAAAGAATCCCTCAGAAATAATTTTTGATTTTACATATCTTGCATCTAAAAATATACCCAAGACACAGTTAAATGTGTTCAATCATACTGTATAATTCCGCACGTCCTATTTGCTTAAAATTGCAACTGAAATATATATAATAAATGGGGAAATAATATGTGAACCATTACGCAACGAGTTGACAATTGTTTTAGGTATGCCCGTTTGCGCTAAGACGGAACCCGGTCGCAAAAATGGCCACGAGAGGGACACGAGTCGCTATTCGGCTTGTTCCTGAATAACGAGTTGGTCACGAATGAAATGCCATTTGTCTGGGAGGCCCTATAGCTAAGGGGAGCAACTCCTACGATGCTATCGTCGATGAGTGCGCAACATGTAATCAAAAGAAGCGGCCTTAATATACTGAATCAGCACTTTTAATGCTCATGCTCACATGTCACAGTGTTTGAGGTCACGGTGATGCATAAAACACTCGTCATCAGCGGTTGACTTAAGTGACTTCTGAAACTGACACTATTCAATGTCACATTGATCACAGTCTTCAGTAGAGAAATGCGATAATCGGTTATATCCTCTTCTACATTTCATTATACATGAAACTAAAATACTGACATTGAATGCATGGTTCATGATGTATCGTTTAACACAAACATACAATTAACAATATCCAACAAGGTGTTTTGTGTGATGTATATTAAGTATAATTAACCCATTAAACGTTGTATTCCAATTGTAATGGTGTTACCATATAAGATTAGTCACACCAGTGCCATTTTGTAATACTCGACATAGCGTACATGACGTTAATCACTATACACCTGCCAAAATAAGTATGTATGTACGTTGTACAACCCTGATTCCTTGTCACACCTATTTCGCTCGCAGAAGGGTAAGATACGTGATAAATTATGAAGAAAATGCAAATTATGTGGAGTGAGATGGGTTTAACGCCGCTTTGATCAGTATTCCAGTTATATCACGGCGTGTCAGCTTAATGAAGGAGAAAGACCCAAGTCATGCAGGTCTTGGACCGCTGCCACTTTGGTGAAACCCGCGATTACGGTATGGTGCTGACAAACCAGGCAACATAAACGGGGCGAACCGGGATTCGAACCCACAATCAAAGGTTTCTGTCGTGTCCTTGTGATGCACAACGAA